AAGCATAAAGAGTTACAGAGAGAACTTAGAAATAATTATAAGAGATTCTTATGCTTCTTAGTATGAAATCATGTAAAGCAACCATACCCTCTAACAAAAATATCTCTTGCTACTACAATCAGAGGCAGGATAAGTTAATAACTGGTCTGTCCCTATTATGTATCTCTTAGATTTTACAAACATAATAATGAGGATATTCTTCTTGATAAAATTTCTAAAACTATAAAAATGTAACACTGATAGCATGCAGTTATAAACTTCACCTTACAATTGATTCATAAACATGAAGAAAATGTCTAGGGGTCCATCTTATAGTCAATACTCTACACAACTACTTTTTATTTCCCAATTCAGAAAATCCAAAGAATGGTTACACTAGATCAGCATTCTACACACTATTCTATGAAGGTTAACGTTAAGAAGTTAATAAATACTGAAGCAAAAAAAAATTCAGGTATCAAATAAATCTTCTCTTAGATATTCACAGGCCCCCAAAATCCCATATTAAAGAATCTATTTAGCTTTAACTTGCATTTCCTAAATTTATTTGACCATGGAAACTTTTTCCCCCAGGCAATTTATAAATTACGGACATTAGTTCTACAGTACAGAGTTTGGGAAACACTGACCTAGTTACCTTCTTTTATAGAAATTTAAGAGAATTACTTTTACAAGAGTATATGTAGAGAGTTAAATGTGCTGAGGAATAATGTGAACAATTTAATTTTCTCAAGGTCAAAAAGAGTCCTTGTTTCTGCTACTGGAGATAAGGATATGTGGCATTCTGAATTCATCTTCTCAAAAGAACAAGTTATGACATGCAAGTGAAACCAATATTGAATAACAGACTCTCAGAACTCTAGAACAAGTTAGCCCTCATATTTATAAATAGGGAACCAAGGGTCCAAGGACACCACAACTTACTTGGTTTTCCTCTCACATCACTGGCCATTCTTTTTCAGCTTCCTTTGCCAATTCCCCCTCATCTCCCTAACCTTTTATTGTCAGATTCCCCAGAGCTCAGTTGGTGGACCTTGCCCTTTCTCTATCTCTACTGTATCCCTTGGTGATCTCATACAGTCCCATGACTTTATTTTTATTGAATTTTTGTTTTGGAACAATTGGGTATATTCACATGCAGTTGTAAGAAATAATATACAGATTCCGTGTACTCGTTGTCCAGTTTCCCCCAATGATAACATCTTACAAAATTTAGTACAATATCATAACCAGGATACTGATAATGATTCAATACACCAATCTTATTCAGATTTCCCCAGTTTTAATTCCCATGTATTAATTCCCATGACCCCATGATATTTTAAAATGTTAAACATTTAGGGGCCGGCTGAGTGGCTCAGTTGGTTAAGAGCTCGCTCAAGAGTTTGAACTCTGAGCAACAGTGGTTCAAGTCCAGCCAAAGCTGAGCAGCCGCTGAGCTGCCAATAGGTAGCAGGATGGCTCAGCTAAAAAAAAAATAATAATAAAAAATAAATAAATAAATAAATAAATAAAATGTTAAACATTTATAGCCTAGAACACTTCCCTAAACTCATACAGGTGAATGACAATGACATATCCACTTGGGTATCTAAAAGGTATCTAAAACATGTCGCAAATCAAAGTCCTCATCTTCCCTCCCAAATCTATTCCTCCTAGTCTTTCCCACCTCAGTTAATATCAATGCCATCTTTCCAGTTGCTCAGCTGTGGAATCATCCTCAACACTTTCTTTCTCTCACACTTCACATCCAAATCATCAGCAAATTCAAAATATATCCAAAATAAAACCTCGTATCACCTACAATGCTAGTAGCTTAGCCTAACTCCTTTCCCATCTCCTACCTGGTTTATTATAATAGCCCCCTAACTAATCCCCCTGATTCTGTCCTGGGTCTTCTACAGTTTATCCTCAAGACATCAGCTAGAGTAATATAAACACTTTCTGTATTTAAGGTTTTTTTGTTGATTGTGGCTTTTAACTGAGGTATAAAACACTCCTCTATTCAAAATCCTCTCAAGCCTTCTTATTTCAGAGTAAAAGCCAAATGCCTTATGGCCCACACTACTTCACAGGCCCCATCTTGTACTAATCTCCCTCTTGCTCAGTCAATTGCAGCCAAACCAGTCTCCTTGCAGTTCTTCCTTCAGGTCTTGACTCAATATTATCTCTCAGTGAGGCCTTCCCTGACCACCAAATTTTAAATGGCAGCCTACAAACCCTCACCCCATACTCCTTATCCCCCTCCCCCAACTTTGTTTTTCTCCACAGTATTAACTACCAGCTAACATACTATATCCTTTATTTACTTTTTTGTCTCTCTCTTCACTAAAAAATAAGCTTCATGAGGACACAGGTTTCAGTCCATTTTTCTAGCACCTAGAACAGTGCCAGGCACAAATTAGATGCTCAAGAAATATCCACAGAATAAATAAATGAGGCCCAAAGAGGCAAGGTGTTTTAACAAAATGTGACAAAATGGGGGTAAGAATCCATGTCTCTGCAATTTATGAGTCACTTTTTCTAAGAATGGTGATGGACTCAAACTGACCCAATCTCACTTTTTATTCAGTGGTAACCAAAAGCACACATGCATGAAATGGCAATTTCTGATCAGTGAACAAACTCTTTAAAATAACTTGATGAGATTCAAGCTAACACTTGTTAGCACAAAATTAAAATTCAACCAACTAAAGTCCTAAGGAAGAACACAGAGCAGTACTCCTACAATGTTATATCAAGAATGCAGTTTATCCCATTTTTGAACTATAACCAAGGTAGAACAAATATCTGTAAAAGATAAAGTTTGACATAAAGGAACTTACATTAAAAATGGAAAAGATGTTGTTTCTGGGCAAATTTAAAAAATTTTTTAAACATTGTGTAGAAAGAAGGTAAATGACAAACTTTCCTAGAGACAGATAAGGAAATGAAGACTAGTATGCCACCAGGTCCACTTACAAGCCACTTTCAGAGCTTTTGAAAAATCATTAATTTACAGTAGAAATTAGTTGAGAAGTTTAAAATTAATGGATTTAATTTTTTTTATTATTAATTGCAAGGAACGCATTACATAATAAGTAGTCATCTAAATTGGCTTTGAATCCATTTCAAAGTAAAATAGTTCTAATTTTAGAGTAAAAAAACCACAACTGAGTATACATTCAGAGTCTGCCTATTGTCATGGCAACTAAGATCACAAAAGGCATTTTGCTTATCTTTAAAATTCAAGAACTTTTTAATTGGTAAATTAGTAAATTCCTGAGGCACTTAAACAATATAATTTTTAATTAAAAGAAAATAATAACATCAAAACTGTTTAGTAGATCTATATATAATGTAACTAAAATAAACAAATGTCAAATTGTTAAAATATACATGTATATGTGAAATATATATCAATATATATTTATATACATATATATATATGAAAAAGAAACAAGTGCATTATTGGCCCCCATATTTTGTAATGTTCCCTTTACCCAAGGGAACTACATCAATGGCTAAGTAGATACTATGTATTAGCCATACAAATTATGTAACTTTAAAACTTGTCTTAAGGTCTACAAAAAAAGGTTTTGTTAATTCTTTTCTCCTTAGAACACAATTATTAAGATGTTAATAATAATCCCAAAATAAGACAGAGAATATAATAATGTCTAATGATCTGAACAACAGCTGAATTAAAAAGTTGTTAAATAGGCAGTTATAGGTAATCTGTAGAGAATTCTAGGGACTTTCTTGGAAGTCTTAAAACAAGGCACACACTAAACAACAGTTTTAAAGAAAAGAATATAAAAGTAGACATCATAAAATAAATAAATTTGGAAAACAAAACAATCAAAATTAAACTAATTTATTAAAATAAAAAATCTGAGAATTGGTATTGTCGAAAAACTATAGAATTAGTATTGGGTAATATATTTTAAACAACAGTAATAATAACTGTAATTTTAGAACATAATTATAGAGACCTGTTGTTCCAAGGACATGAAAATAACCATGGTTTTCTAACAACCAGAGCTTTTATATTCCTTGGACTGCATTCAGGCTAGAAGAAGATTAAAGGGCAGCAGCCAAAATGATTAAACTTCAACTTGGATGTTGAAGCATTGATTTAATGGGCTTTTCGTGGCCAGAAGTGACCCACAAGCTTAGATCAAGAGCCAAAGTCCCCAGTGGAAATTTGTGCTCAATTTGGTGGGCTTTGAAACCATCTTTGGCTAAATCAGCATCAACCTTATGGGAGGCCAGCCATGAAGTAAGGGAACCTACAGCAGGTCCCACAGTCAAATTATTCACATTCCTTGGAAAGAGAGAACAGGCATCAGTTGTGTCCATCGAAGGGGGACACTGTCCAGGTGTATCCTGGACATTTTTTGAAATCTCTGGGCTGCTTCTGCATCTGAAAAATAAGAAAAATAGCACAATGACAGACAACGAATGAGGTAAAAGACAATCATTGGGCCTAAACACATAAGACTTACAAGAAATTAAGAAAGCAGACAAAACAGACAAACAGACAAACAGCCATATCATTTGGAATGTATTATTCTAAAGGCAAGTACATTAGAGAAAAACAAATTATTTTAAGCAAAGTAAGAAATGACCATTGCAACAAAAGTTATTTTGGAGAGAGCCAACTGGAGAAAACAACTATGTTAAGATATGTCAACCTGACACAAAGATAAGGTGGAATAAGAGTCTAGTCCCATTTGAAACTGAAAAAAGCTGAATAATGAAAGCTAGTGTCATGAACTTGGCTGCTTAACTGCCTTTGTGTAAGAAAACATCTCAGAACTTTGAACTTAGGAAATTCCAACTTGTCTTGCACCAGGTCACGAGCTCCATAGAGCAGGAACCTATTTCAACAAGCAGCTTTAAAACAAAAACAAAACAAAACACTTTAATATTTTTCATTTCTATTAATGATACATTTTAAAATGCAATTCTGCTAAAATCCATCAAAGTAAAATGCACTGAATAAAAATTAAACTTACTCAGAAAGACGTTCAGAAGTTGGGATACAGACAGAAACTGAAATTAGAAGAAAAGTTTTATATGTAAAACAGTATATGAAATATGATGAGAATAACAATTTTATAAAGAGCCCATACTGTGGCTCACCAAAAATACTCAAATAAATATTAAAACTCCAAAGTAAAACAATTATATATACACGTACCTTTCTCTACTACAACTTGGCAAGTATGAGTTTCATGTTGACTTAAGTGGGTAGCCATATTATCTAAGCCAGTAACATCAGCTAGGACATCACAATTAAGGCACACTAGAGTAATGCCCCTAAAAAAAAAGCAAATAGTATAAAAGGTTTTTTATCTTTTGTGAAAATCCATATACTAGTTCAATGATTATTTTTCCATAATAAATTTTTACCTCTCATACTAGCTAAAAGCTAGGAGTCAAGAGACCTACAGCCCAGTCCTGGCTCCACTAACAACTTGTGTTACTTCAACAAGTCATAATCTACCTGTGTCTCTGTCCATCTACAATGCAAGAGTACAGTATTCATTCACTCAACACATATTTACTAAGACTGTGTTTACTTATACTGTACTACTATTATACTGTATTGTGAATGTAAATGAAAAAAATAGAATCTGTGCTCTAACAAAGCTGATAGTCTAGGGTTTTATTTAGGTGAGGAAAAAATTAGAAGAGAAATGTGAAGACTTTAAACATAATTCATGTTGTAGCTGTCATCAACTACGTACTACGCATATGTGTTAAAGGTTTTTTCATATTATTTTATTATGATTATTTCCATATTATTTCATTTGATTCTCATCACAACCATCGAGGTTGATATTATTCTCATTTAACACTGAATTAATTAAAGTAGTTAATTCACTACTGAAGTCTAAAGCTTGAGTTCCGCAGCAACCCAGCACTTTGAACTGGACCACTTGCTGTGGCCTAAACTACTTGTTTCCTTAACAAAACTTCACTAAATGCTATAGGTCTAAAATGAAGTATGCAATGATTTTACATTTCCAAAAAAGCTAGGAAACAATCCCCATAGGCATCAATACTTTTTGTTGAATTCAGAAATAGTTTTATACTCATTATATCAAACTGTGTAGTATTTACTATTTAAAATAATAACTGGCATACTTGTATTACAGTATGTGACACTGCCCTTAAGATTCTAATTAAAAATGTATTTAAACTTTTGATTTTTAGTTGAAAGGTACTTTAAAATATTATTAAGCCTGTGAAAGTATGTAAATGTTTCAGAGAATTTAGAAAGCCACTACGTTTAATTTATTATATTTATAAGAGTTAAGAACTTGGAAGGTTGTTGTGTCAATCATCTGAAGTGCTGTTTAAAATAAAATAAAATATATTAAATGTATAAATGTTAAGTTGTTTAAAGGAACTTGAATTGTAAATGGGATTGCTTAAAAATGTTAGCCTATTCAACTTAAATTAACTTTATCAAACATTAATTAAAGGCCTTCTGGAAAATGATTATTAAAATGTACTTGATTTCTAAATGGAATATTTTTAAGTTAAACTTAAAAGTTTAAGGAAAGTTAAGATATAAATACTTAACTATAGTCTTTTCTATTAACAAACTGCCTTCACAGACACTAAAAGTGGTCTCACTGGTAAGTAGTAGCTAAATGCCTTATTCCACTGGGTATAGTTAATTGGACTGGGATGGAATGCCTAATTCAAGCCTTCTCTAAACAGGAATATGTAATTGGGTTTTACAATAAAATTCCTTGATCTGGGAAAATATAGGAGGTTGAAAATATTGTACTATGTTTGGGTCATCAATAGAAAGAGCTGGTCTGCACAGAGAAAGGAGAATAGAACCGAAATCAAGAGAAAATAATAAAGATAAGATCATCCTGCCTCAGCAGGTTAGACTACAGAGAAGCCATGTCAGTAATTGATGGCTTTCTATTCCCCTTATTTGTTCTGGCTTAACCTCCTCCTCTTAGGAGTCAATGAGGGTCTTTAGAATCCTGCTAATAAATTATTTTTGCTTAATTATATATTTTAAAAACAGATCGTGTAATGCTGTCACTGTTGTAATTTAACAAAACATAAATCCACTTTTGAAAGTCATCACATGCTTTAAAAATTTAAGAGTTTTACCAACATACAAACAAATTACATACCATAGACTGACTTCTCCCCTGAGGTACTAGGCTAACAGTGTGCTGTGTATGTTATGCTGACACATCAAAATTGACCTTTGCAAAACTCAAATCAAGTATTTCCTCTCCAAATCAACTCCTTCTGTCTTTCTTATGATATCATTTCCTCTAACAATAAAACTCAAACTATAGTTACCTCTGTATCTTCTTTTTTAAACAGTCAATATGTAAAGCATCTTATAATATTAACAACTAATTGAGTATTTATTCCGTGCCAGGCTAACGAATTTAAACATATCTCATCTAAATCTTGTAATAACCCAAAAAAGGCAGGTGCTATATAATTTTTTACCTTTTTATAGAAGACAGTTAGCTTAGTAATCTACCAAGGACACAGAGCTAATAAAGTTGGGAGCAGTTGAAAACTGAGCACTTTTATTCCAGAGCCCATATTCTTAAAGATGATGTAGTACCACTTCAGCATTTTAACTCAGGTCCTTACTAAATCATTCAGAACTATGACAATAGTCCTCATCTACAGGATTCATTCAAAACTACCACAGTAGTACTAATCTATAGGATTCATACATCTATAACTCACCCTACTGCCGAAACTACTGAAGGTATAAGAAGAAGGGTATCTTCAATTCAACCTTCCTTCAGTATCATTTGATTCTATATAAAACATCAAAGGTTCTCCAAAGCCCTTCAAATGAAGTCCAAACTCCTTAGCCTTATTTTCAACACTTTCACAACAGTTTTGGCTCTAAGCTCAAAACTATTGCCCCAGACTTCAATCTTATATTATTATATAAACTTCATGATCCATTCATTTACTACTAGTTATTCTGTCTGTATGCCTTCTAGTTTTTCATTTCTGCACCTTTATTCATACTATTTCTTCTCATTTGAATGTCTCTGTGCCTCTTTTATCAGCATAAACAATACTCAACTTTTAAAGCAAAGTATACCTAACACCTATCCAGGTCATTCCAAGTAAAGTAATCCCTCACAATTATAAGTATGACATAGTCCATTCACAGAAATTGACGAATTTTCAATTTGATAACTATTCAAATTGACAGAAATAATCCCAGATCCTTAAAATAATAAAATTCACCTAAAAACCAAACACACAACTAAGCTTGACAACAGTGAGGTAAAAAAAATCAAACTAAAATCTTATCTTTTGAATGCAATAAAACTTTTTTTTCTTATGAAAATTTTCAGTAAAGGCAACATCTAATATAGCTGAATCTATTTCCCTGAATTCAGTAAATGTTTTCAAATTGGTACTAAAATACTTTTTAAACTAAATCAAATTTTTTTGTCCTTGTGAGCTACTGGTCCAAAATAGATAAGACCTACTGTCCACATACATCATATTCAAATTATACTTTAATTTATTCAACAAATATTTACTGAATGCTCACTATGTGCCAGGCACTAATCAATGTCTGGCATAGACAAAAATCCAAACAACACACATTCTAGTAAAGAACACAGAAATTTAAAAAACTAAAATATACAGTAGATCAGGTGAAGAAAGATGATCTAGAGAAAAATGAAGCAAAAAAAGGAGATAGCGAGTGCTGGGGTGAAGCATAGGGGAGAGGATACAATTTAAAATTTTTGTTCTCTTTTTACAATGCAAATGCATGAAGATTTTACCTCGATAGTACTTGTCATGAGAATATAGGATAATCACACCTCTAGTCTAAGGACATAATGAATGGAACTCTGTAATATCCAGTAACAATCATTTAGATTTTCAAATTTGACATCCCAATATCAGGTTAAAAAAAGTTATAATAAACCACAATGAGATACTATTTCACACCCTCTAGGGTGGGTATAATAATAAATATAGATAATAATAAGTATAGGAAAGATGTGAAGAAACTGGAACCCTCACATACTGCTGGTGGGAATGCAAAATAGTGGAAGAACTTTGTTAAACAGTTCGGCAGATCCTCAAAGGTTCAATAGTTACCATATAACCCAGCAATTCCAATTCTAGATATATACTAAAGAGAAATGAAAGATATTTCCAGGCAAAAACTTGTACATAAATGTTCATAGCAGCATTATTTATGTCTTCCAAGTTGAAATAGCCTAAATGAATAAGCAAACTATGCCAAATCCATTCAAAAGAATATTATTCAGCAATAAAAAATGAAGTACAGATATAACACAGATGAACCTTGAAAACGAGCTAAGTAGAAGCCAATCACAAAGGATTACATATTGTATCATTCCATTTATATGTCCAGAAATGTTCAGAATAGGCAAATCTATACAGACAGAAGATCAGTGGTTACTTAGGGATGGGGGAAGGAAAGAAATGGGGATGACCATAATGGGTACAGAGTTTCTTTTTGGAGTGATGAAAATATACTAAAATTAGCTGTGATGATGGCTGCACAGCTCTGCGAATATATTAAAAACAATTAATTGTATAATTTAAGTGCATAAATTGCATGTTATATGAACTATATCTCAATAAAGATGTATATAAAAATTTACTATTTTTCAATACAAAGAATAAAAAAAAAATCAACTAGTTACCTGAGCGCTTCTGAATGCTTCTTAAAAATACAAAACCTTTTACTTGGACGGTTACTGTGAAAGCTGGAGAGACAAAACAGATTTTATTAATCTTATTCTATAGTAGTTATAGTTATAGCTATATTTCACACCTATACTTAAAATTTGTAGTTTTGCATAAAAGGTCATGATATAAATTAAAAAATAATTTTTGTCATCCCTGTGTAATTCAACATTTTATCTTATATTCCACTTTACTACTTATTATCTAATGACACACTTCCCTAAGCAGCTCAGTGGCAGCTCAGCTCAGGCTGGGAATCAAACAGCTGTTGCTCAGAGCTCACACTCTTGAGTGAGCTCTGAACCAACTGAGCCACTCGGCTGGCCCCCTAGCATATTCTTATATGATCAGTATCCTCGTCATTACACAAAAGAAGGAAATATTCAAGTTTTAAAATAAGTAAAGCACAAATTAATTTTTTATCTGTTAAGAGTTTAAACAATTTTAAATTTTGCTAATAACATTTTTTCTATAATATGAATTGTTATCAATAATAATCACTATTTTTCTAACCATTTTCCAATTTTAACATGCTTGTGTTGGGGAAGAGGGATAGAATCCAAATGATCCTGGAAGTAAATGGTATTCAAGCTAAATGCCACTCATCATCATTTGTAAAATCAAACATTAGAGTTCTTTGTAATTAAAATCAAACATTTAGAGAGTTCTTTGCAATTACTTAAAAAAAATAAAACAAGGGGCCAGCCGAGTGGCATGTTGGTTAGGAACTGGCTTGGGATGCCAGAGGGCCCCGGTTCGGATCCCACATATGCGGGCCAGTGATACTGCCCTCTACAGCTAAGATGCTGAACAACAGCTCAACCTGGAGCTGGGCTGCCATGGGTTGCCGGGGACAGCGTAGGCTGCAGCCTCTGCTGCAGTGGGCTGCCATAAGCTACCATGTGTAGCTGGCAGCCAGCGTGAGCGGCCGTCCAGAGGCCGGCGATTAATCTGATCTGCCTCACCTGGGAAGAACACAATGATGGTGCCAGCTTGGGCCAGTGAAGCAACATCCTCCACAACTAGACTGAAGAACAAAAGGACAGCAACTTGTCTGTTCCCCTTCCCCCAATTCCCCAGCGCTGTTCCCCTCCCCCAATTCCCCAATAAAAAAATCTTTAAAAAAAATTAATAAATAAATAAATAAAACAAAGCAGAACTCATGAGTTAAACAATGCTTCCTCTAAGCACAGAACAGAAAACCACTAACCAAACTTTGTGACCAATAATAACTTTCATATACCCTTTTAAATTTGGTAAGGAAAGCTTCCCTGTACTAGAAAGACAGAATTAGTTTAAAACAATATTACTAAAAGTAGTCATAGACTAAACATCAGCATCACCCAGGAGCTCATTTAGAAATGCAAAGTCTTCTGTCCCCCACAAATTTATTGCGTTAATCTCTAGCAGCGAGACTAGCCTTTTCAGTAATTCTTGTGCAAACTAAAGTTTGACAAGCAGTAGCCCTACTGAGCACTGATAGGTCCAAAACAGCCAGCTAACCAGGTTAATGGTCACATGGTCACTCTCAGACACAAGGTAACTATCACATAGTCACTCTCAGACACAAGGTGACTATCACCAGCACAGCATATATGTATGAGAAAAATACTCTGACTAGCTATAACCCCCAGAAAATATCCTCAGAAGATTTTTAATAGTCATTTCTTCAATCTGGGGAGAACTACTATTATAGTTTACAAATTCAAAACAATATCCCAAAAATAATTAAATGGTTTTTTTATAGAAGAAAACATCAAGGGGTTGGAAACAAATTATATGCAAAAATTTGTGCACACAACTGTGTCTCCTCAGAGGAATGAGTCCAAAATTCTATCTGACTGCCAAAGAATGTGGACCAAAATACGTTTTTAAAAAACCAAAACACTGTTTCTTCTTTCTCCTCAGACTGTTTTGGTTTATTTATCTATTTAGTAAGAGAAAAGAAAAAAATTTAAGGCCTTTATGATGTCTTCTGTTTCTGCTTATAACTTGTACCTTATTAAAATGTTGGGACTTTTAAAATTTTAGTTGTCTGAATCCAGCTTTGAGTTCCCTATCTATTAAAAAAAAAGGAAAATTATACTGTCTCTTTATTTATATTTATTACTTTGCAAAAAGCTAGATAGAGAGGAATTTTCAAGAAAAATAAAGAGTTGAATGAGATGAAAAAGTAGTTAGGAATTAGATATTTAAAGGTCTTATATTCTTCAGAAAGTTTGAACTTCATCTTATTAATGTTAAGAAGGCAAAGGATTTGAGGCCAAAAAACTGACCTGGCCAGGTATGCCTACTCTACCAACAGAAGGAAGGATGGAAAAAATGGGGGTGGGTGAAGACTACAGACAGGAGACCAGCTATGATGCTATCGCAATAATCCAACTGTTCTTCTAATGATTATTATTTAGCACCAAGAAGTCTATATAAAATACATAATAAACTCAAGCATATCTCATAACAATTCTGTACTGTGCCTTATACATTGTATAGGAATGAATTGTTATACCAGCTTTTTTTCCTTGGAGAATTTTTAAATCATCCTTCAACGCCTAAGTGAAATGTCATTTATGGAACACTTTCTTTTATTTCTTCTTTAAAGAATTTGTTCTTACCTGCTCTGTGTTCTCATAGTCACTTGTAAATACATCTCTCCCACCAAATTGTGAAAATTAAAGGAAAGGACTTTTCCACAATACCTAATATTGACAACTTAGAAATAATAATTACCTGAATGCCTAAGTGCAAACAAATCATGTTATGAAGCACTTTAAGTATATTTTCTTTAATAATCACAGTAACTTTCTTTTCAAGAAAAGGAAATTGGGAGTCAGGTTAAGTAACTTGCCGAAAGTCACAAAGGTCATAAATAAATGATGAAGCATGGATTCAAGTACAGATTTGTCTGATTCATCACCACTAGATTGCCATACTTCTTAGCAAATAGCAAACTCTACTAAAAAAATGGATACTAAAATACTTATGAGTGTTAATTCTACTATATGCAGAATATATGTCATGTTAAGGAATAATACCAACATTACACGGAAATTCATTTGGATTTTTTAGGTGACTTGTATGGCTACCTAAAAGCTATAAGCAAATAAGGTGCAATAAACCAACCAACCCCAAATAATGCTTTTTTTAAAAAATCACATGTTTAATAATGCTCTTCTTTGAAAGTGTCTTATTCCAAAAGTATTCCAACTGCATTAAGATTTTGGAATATCCTCTTTCGAGATTTTATTTAGAGATTTTTATAATTACAACACATGACTATCACTTTCTGTTTGTAATGTGGTAGGTGACATGGTGAAGACAAAGAGCCCCTTCTTCTCACAGAGATATAGAAACACAAACAAATATAATAAAAAGCACAACACATGAATGGTACAGAACTCAAAGTAAGGAATGATTCCTGTGAGGGGTTGTGGTGATCAGACACTTCAAAAAAAAAAGGTAAACTGAGAGGAAGGACGGGCGTTCCAGGGACTAACAAAGAATAAGGAAAAGCCACTGTTAAAGGTGAGTCTAGGAAGAAACTTTACTCTGAAGAAGAGTAGTTAATTTACGGGGATGGGAGTCATTATAGAATGGATTGGGGCAGACAGGAGACCAGAGGGAAAAAGACCAATTGACAGTTCAGAGGTGATATGAGATAGGGATTCAAGGTACTCATCTGGAGAAAATGAAACTTCTGTATACACAGAACTCAAGCCTATAACAAGAATCCAAACTGGGCAGAGGTATTGGTGGGCCATTCAATGGGAGATACCAAAGACAGTGAGTGAGGCAAGGGTACCAGTGAAGTAGAAAAAAAGGAAAATGGGATCTACCAAACCCTGAGTAGCAATGGAAGCTTTCTCTTCCATACGAAGCTAACAATGAGTGAGAGCTTAGTATGTGCAATGACAATGAAATGCAGGGTTGAGGCTCATTGGGAACCGGGAAAAGGGTCTAGAGCGGCGGTTCTCAACCTTTCACAGGGGTCGCCTAAGACCATCGGAAAACACGTATTTTCGATGGTCTTAGGAACCGAGACACCGCTCCTCTATCCGTCTCCAGGCCCACATGCAGATACGCCCACATACGAGTACCCAGCGACCCCTGTGAAAGGGTTGTTCGACCCCCAAAGGGGTCATGACCCACAGGTTGAGAACCGCTGGTCTAGAGGGAACCAAGCTCACTGGAAATGTTTTGGAATAGAATGGATTTGGAAGTTCTACAGGACAGATGGAAAGCCTATGATAAATGAGAGAGGGAACGGTGAATGATCCTTGGTTTAAGAAAACACAAATTATTTTCCAATATGATCCCCTATAAGTTAAGGGCAAAATTAAAGCCTCATTTTGGTTAGCCACATATTTGTCACAGAATAAGAGACACTCCACACAGAAGCACACTGGGAGAAAGGATGCCTGAAGCCTGGTTGAGACGAAAGGGAATACAGGTGCAGACTACTGCAGTAGTAGGGAGGCAGCATGGCAGAATGCAGGAGGTGGAATCTCAGGAAGCCATGACGCACACTGGAAGATCAAGAGAAGTTCATGAGCTTAAGAAACTTGGGACAGTGAATTGTTTCCAGCTGGTGTTCCAGTCACACATATGATGCCCTGAGCGTATTGGGTGGTAGTTGTGTGAATGATGCAGATTATGAGTTTTGGTTTATTTGTGTTCTTGTTATATGCCAGAGTCAAAGGTAAAAATATCTGTAAAATAATTAGAAATACAAAGTTGGAACTCAGAGGATTGAAACTGGAAGATTTAAAGTTGAAAGGTAAAAGTGACAGTGATTAGGTTACCAAGAAAGGAAATGTAAAGAGGCAAGAAGTGTTGAAACAGGGGAGTAGCCAAAAAGAAAAGTAGTAGTAACCGTTTCGCTGAGGAGAATAGTTTCAAAAGTGAGTGACAACAATGTCAAAATCTCTGAAGTCATATAGAAAGAACTTTAAAAAGTGAATAAATGTGGTAATAAGTACATGACAGATCATCTTTAAAGGAGCAGAGTTAGTTGGTAGGTGGAAATGATACTCAAATTTCAGGGTAAAGAAATAAATCACAAATAAGCTAGTTAACACTTTTTACAAATGTATAACAGTAAGAGAAAAACAAGAAGGAAAGTAGGCAGTAGGAATAAATCTCCTTCATCTTAAAAAAATACCTGAAAATGTCTGTAAACAAAAGGCACCTGGTTGAGAGAAGAGATGAAGGAGCAATTTAACTGAATAAGGTTGTGGAGGAGCTGGAAGAGACAAGGGACAGCGTTAACTCTGAAGAAGTGGAACATCACTGATTTCTGAGATCAATGTAACAGGAGAAAAGGTGATGTTGAAGATTGATTAAAAGGATGAACTCCAACTGAGTAATCAGTAGGCCAGGTTAACAACTAACACACTAAAATAAAATCTTTAGCATACTGAAAAAGGTTTAAATAGACATTGTACGAAAAAATAAAGAACTACTTAAAAAAGTCAGGGCCCCGGCTGACCGAGTGGCTGTTGGTTAAGAGCTTGCTCAAGAGTGCGAGCTCTGAGCAACAGCGGTTCGATGCCTGGCCCGAGCTGAGCTGCCAACAGGCAGCAGGATGGCTCAGCTAAAAAATAAAAAATAAAAAAGACAAGGCCCCAATCAAAAAGTTAAAGATCATGAAGTCAGCGTTAGTGTTGATTGAATCAAGTACTGTTTAGTACTCTAGAATTGAGCATCAAGTTCAGAAGATGTTCAAGTCTCACCTTGGCCTTTGTGCCCAGTGAGCATGTCTAAAGGTGTAAAAGATTCCAGAACAAAAACAAAGCAGCAATCAAAACAGTTGTCCCTGAGGGTAAGGTTGACTATAAAGTTAAACGGATGCCGCTGGACTTTGAAAAAAGGAGTCAAAGCCCTGAAAGTGATGGGGTAACAAGAATTCAAAAGACAAAACAGTTGTTTGGGCCGGCCGAGTGGCTCAGTTGGTTAAAAGCTAACTCGCGGGTGTGAGCTCTGAGCAACAGCAGTTTGATTCCTGGCCCAAGCTGAGCTGCCAACGGGTGGTAGGATGGCACAGCTAAAAAAAAAAGAAAAAAAAGAAACAGTGTATATGATCAGATTAAAATGCTATGTGGTTAAGAAAGGGTACAATAACTTAAAAGTTGATGTGAAATGCTGGCACTAAAGAAGTCAAGGTACCATGACATCAGGCTAATCGTCAAGGGGGGTGAGGTGTGGGGGGGGGCAGGACTGTGAGAGAGGTGCGGAATGAAGCCGTCAAAATGGGTTGGAGAAACCTTGAAAGGAGTAGCTGACAGTGACCAGAAAGTAACACAGGTCAAGTTATGATCTATAAGAAAATCACTTTTATTAGTTGTACTTTAATTCTAATTAAAAAAAAAATGTAACCTCACTTTGAATAATCAACCTAACTGGTTTATATCTGAACAATTTTTGTCTATTTTTAAAAAATAAAAATCTACCCTGAAGGATTCCCCTACTAATGAGATATAAATAATGTAGGCTGTGAAGGCTTTCTCTGCATAGAGTAAGTAATAGGTACTCAAATAATCTAAATTGAATAAATTAATGAAAAAGAATTCCAACAATGGCATCATGACTAGAATAGTCTCTCATTTCACTGACTGAATGTAAGGAAATGATAGATGGTTTGATGGATGGATGGACAGACAGTTGGATTAGAGAGAAAGAGAGAAGAGAGGAGAGAGAGAGAGAGAGAGAGAGAGAGAGAGAGAGAGAGAGAGAGAAAGAAAGAAACAGGCCCAATAAAGTTCTTAGCATCACTGAAAAATCCTGGAGTCTCTCAAAGTGATTGTTTTGAAGAGAATAACATTCATGAAATTACATGCATTTGTTTGGTATATGTATTTAAAACATTTAAATTTTTATCTTTGAAAATAACCATTTTTGAAAGTCCCATAGGAAAAAAAAATTCTCAAAGAAAATCTATTTCCCTAAGAGACCTATCCTAATTTCATTAGTCTAAATGTTCTTACAGTTTTAGTTACAGTAATTTTATGAGTTACTGTACTGGAAAATAGTACCAGGCATCATCCCAGAAGCTCTCTATTGCTTGATGCTTTTAGTTCCTTGAAGAGAAAAATTGGGTTCTAATAGATAACTGTTTTCAAAAACCAAACTTGCTGAATTATAGTTTAATTGGTAATTATATATGTTTAACTCATCTTACCTCATCATATGATTTACATAGGATTTGCTACAGCTAGTGTTGTATCTGCAAAAACTACAGTGGACATATGTAGGAAAGTGGTTTGCAAAATCTTTTATTTCGGAACAACACTCAATGCACTTGTGAACTCCCCGACGATACCTTATGGAAGATAAAAAGAAACTGATAAAAATATTTTTTTAAACAAAAATAATAAAAAAGGGCCTCACTAGTGTTCTTTTAATTAAAGCCAAGTTGTTTAAATTAACACATTTAAACACAGACATAATCTGAAAGTCTGTTATGAACAACAGCTAGAATAAATATAAACAATCTAATGTCAGTTAATGCTTGTCAGTGAAATGAAAGGGATTAAATTAACCAATTCAAGCATCACAAGATATAAGCACAACATATAGTACCAGTATAATGGATATTACAGAAAAAAACATAGTAATTAAGTACTGCTCAACAGTTGTAAAAAAATGTGCCTTTTTATTATTTGCTTGGCCTTTATGCCATTAAGTGATAGCATATAAATGTGTGAGAGAGTTGTGTAATAGGGTACATTTATATTAAATAAAGATTTTACTTTTATATTTAAGATTAAATTAGTATCGTCTATCAGGAATAAAAGATTACCTTAAGTTCCTCAATGCTGTATTGACTTTACTTTTTCTATTGCTATTAGTCAAAGTGCTTTGTTTTTTTTGCATATTAGAGATTTTTGATTTGAATTTAGATTTACTTCCATTAGGCTTACTTGCATTAGGTTTACTTGCACTGAATTTAGTTGTATTAGGTTTACTTGTGTTAGATTTTGTGGGATTTTTAGCAGTTATATTTTTTGTCCTTGGAGGTGAGAGCTGAAGGGTAGACGTGTTTGCACTAATGGAAGATGTACTTGAAGATCCTGATTGAAGAGGTCCAACTGAAGCTCGAATAGTAACCTACAAAAATGAAGATAATATTTACTTTAGAAAATTATTCCTTCAATCAGTATTAAAATTTCACCGTATAACAAAAGTTAAACATCAACTATTTTGAAAAGAGTAAGTATAAACTATAACTGGATAAGTCTTCCATTTATTTTAAATGTTTAAGTGAAATCAATTTTGATATTAATTTACTTGTATTACATTTTTGTATTGATATGTTATATGTTAACAATTATTAATGAATATTAGGAGTTAATACAAATTGCATACTATTAAAAGAGCACATTCCATACATAACTATTTTTATGCTCTAATATAACTACAAACATTCATATACACAGAGGTCAAAATTTAAATCTCAAAGCCTGAAAAATACCTCTAGAAAGGCCTGCATTATCCTTTACTCTGTATTACCCACAGTAAATGTGACCTCCTCTTTACAGTGGCTCATTGGGCAGAATTTATGTTTACAAAGGTTATGGGAGTGGTTACATCAATTCAATATACTTCATGGAGAGTTTAATAATATTTAGAATTTCCTTAAAGAGAACTAATATAAAGCTTATGATTTAGTATTCAGAAATTATATTAGTTGGTTGACAATGGAAAACACAATAGCCTACTAACCTTCTCATTAATCATTTGACTATTCTCCCCCCTTGTATACTAGGAACAGCCTATAAGGAAGTCCTATGAAAACATGTGCTTTGGTATCACGTTAGGAGTTAGGAATCAAAAGACCTGAAGTTAAATCTCATACTACTTCCTAGCCATGTGGCCTTGAATAAGTAACTTATCCTCTTAAGCCTCTTTATCTATAATAAGAGGCAATACCTGCCTTGTCTACCTCACCAGATTGCTGTATGAATTAAATAACAGAAACTATGAAAAAGCATACCAAAAGCCTAATCCTAAGGCGCTATAAAACATTTAGTATAGTTATTATTAATATTATTATTGCTATTATCATGAATAAGGGAAAATATGAGAGAGGACTGCACTGCTTACATTAGTGTTGTGCATGTCTAGTCCCAGCAAGGAATGAATGGACTGCAGGGAAGCTTCTCTTGCTCTAGGTCTTCAGAGCATGGCTTTATATTGTTTTAGTTAATTCAAATAACAGACATACCCACATTCAAAGGTAAGAACCCAAAGCCAAATATAAATGTTTTGGGGATTATTTCACTTTGGATTATCCATGCCTCTGTTTCCCTCCACTGGAGCAAATATTCAAGAGCTGACTGTATATAAAGAAGTCAGAAAAAACAGAGGTATATAAGGCAAAAAGGGAAAAGTAAATTACAATCATCAGTATGCAGTCAGACATGTGTTTGCTCACTTAAACATAATGCTATCCAGCAGCAAAACTTGCTTCTCTGAATGCAGGCTTAGTAATAACAACTTCAATAAGCATCTAAAAACCTATGGCATTCAAGGCACTGTACCAGATGCTGAGGACACAAAGATAAATAAAACATGATTCCTGATCTCAAATAGTTTAGTAGATAAAGCCGATATATACACTGCCAACTGGAATAGCTCAAAAAAAGGCTATATAATATTGACACAACCCAGTGATCCAGGGAACAGTTAATCCAGTTGTACTTTTTAAAAGGAATACCATTCTAACAGAGCACACAGCACTGATCAAAAAACAATGGTTAGAGGGTTTTTTCTAAACATAAGAATGATAAAATCTAGTTTTGGAGTCAATAAAAATCAGTAACTATTTTTTAAAGTATTATATTCAATAGATAAAACCAGGCAGGAGTTAATTTCCATTACCATACAAAATGTTAAAATACAACATATTTGAACTCACTTTTGTTCCAGGAGGCAATCCTTCTAGTTGTTTAGGTTTTATAAATGTTCGATGATGCTGAGTCTTGTGATCCATTTTCTCTTTGCATGTCAAAAACTGCAGTCTGCATTTTGTACAACGATGTATTCCTTTTTTCTGGAAACAAAAAAAAGGAAAAATAATTTCTACAATCACAAATCCTGAGTTCTGAAACTGCTCTGATTTAATTTTAATGATTCTGAAACAATTTTTTAAATAGTATTTTATATCTTTCATCATAAATATTAGCAAAGTATTATTTCATTTTGTAAAAACACTTTTTGCATTAGTATTTGGATTTCAAAAATGTCTATTACTATACAGAAATTGAACATGCAAGTTGTATCAATAAGTTCTAATAAAAGCGCTCTCAAAAGTGGTGTGAAAGCTCCTTTAATTATAACTTTAAAGTATTTAGACACAAGATACTATGAAAATGAGCAATACTATGTTTTTATCCTAGAAAAAAGTAAATCCTTTTTAATTTTTGCTCTTGCAAGTTGGTTAAAAAATTGGTAAAAGAAATTCAAATATTTAACCAGACATTTCAAAGAAGCTTGTTAAAGAAATGGTTGTGTAAAGCTGTGCTGTCTAATAAAACTTTCTGCAATGATGAAAATGTTCTAGAGCTGCACTGTTCCATACACTAGTGACTGCACTAGTCACATACAGTTATTAAGCACCTGAAATGCGCCAATACAATTGAGGAATTGAATTTTTAATTACTTTAATTTTAAATAGCCACACATGGTTAGTGGCTACTACAATGAACAGTGTGAATATGGGGGGATAAACCAGAACAACTATTCCTAAACTATTTACTGATTGAGGCACCTTTACTGAGTCCCTCCTCAAACCCAATCTTGACACTACTCTATAGATGTGAAGCAGGACCCAAGGAAAAATCCTAAATTATTTCCCCATGGCTAGTGACATTGCCAGATTCCTGAGCCAATGTTCTTTTTACTACATAATATCAACTACAATCTTTACCTATATGCTCTCATTAATTTTTAAATTATATATATGTACATAAAATTGTATGCATATGCATACATATATATAAATTACCGTATTTGCCAGCGTATAAGACGATTTTTTGGCCCTGAAAAATATGCCTCCAAGTGGGGGGTCGTCTTATACACCAGGTACACTTCAGATAGACTGCCCATAGTGCTTGCCCCGTGCCATAGTGGCCTCCCGATGCCCGCCCACTTCATTCCACATACCGTTCAGGCATCAGCAGCACTGCTGGGTGTATGCTCGGCTGTTATGCGATTTTGCGAGTGTGGTAAATTCGGGTTACCGTATATTTCTTTACATATGCATTGAAGATTCGCGATTTTGCGCTATCATGGTGCCTGTTAGAATGTTGAAGAGCTCGCACTTGCGCACTAGTGAGGTCCCAGGGAGATGCTGATGCAAGGGTGGACCAGACTGCTATAGTGACAGGGCGGGCAAACAGGGAGCAGGGACCAATCAAATCAGGCTTTGTATACAGCCAACAGCCAACCACAATACTGCACCATTGTACAGTACAGCATAGAAAATGTCGACCAGTCAAACCCCTATCATCCCTATCATGGCACCAGCCAAAAGAAAGAAGTATGATGCAAATTTTAAACTGAAAGTTATAAACTTTGCTAAGGAAAATAATAATTGTGCTGCTGCAAGACAATATGGAGTAACAGAAAAGATGGTTCGGGACTGGAAATCAAATGAGAAAGCATTAAAGAGTATGCCAAGGGGTAAGTGTGCATTAAGAAGAGGCACCCCACACTGGCCAGAACTCGAAAAACATGTAGCAGACACGGTGGCTCAACATCGCCAAAACGGTTATGTGGTGACACGAAATACAATACGCTTGTTTGCACTTCAGTGGGCCAAATCAAATCTGATATTGTTTTACCTTTTATTTGGTGTGTGGAAGGTGTGCGGAAGAGGGGGTAGTCTTATACGGCGAGTATATAACAAACTCTGTATTTTGAGTGGAAATGTTAGGGGGTCGTCTTATACGCCCAGTCGTCTTATACGCCGGCAAATACGGTAAACATATAAATACAAAAGAATGTTTTCTCAAAGCTGCAATCTGCCAGATATACCATTATTTCCATTTAAATACAATCAATCATTTATAAAATTCAAGTAAGGTAATATACTGACACACAGTTACTGGCACACAGGCATTTCTTAAGTTCTTTACAAAGTTCAAAGGAATATATAAGTATATGTTAATATTACTATTTTAGCCACATCTTAAGACTATTTTAGAAATGTGGTGCATTGGATTATATCATAGGTACAAGCAACTTAAATAAATTCACTTATATCTGGCTTAAGAAAGAGAAAAAAAAGAGAAAACTTGACCAAGAAAAAGATACCAAGACAACATGAAAGTCCTCCAGAATCCAGTTCCCAGAAATCTTTTCTATATCTATAATCACTCCTTTGGTTACCTCATCCACTTTCATAGCTTTAACTACCACGTATCCAACTGCTTACCTGACATCACTACCTGATATCTAATATACATCTCAAATCAACATGGACAAAATTGAATTCTTGATTTCCCCCTACATCCCTGCCCCCCTAAATGTGCTCTTTCCTCAGACTTCCCCATATGACAGTATATAAAAACTCCATTCTTACAGGTGCTTAGGACAAAAAACTTGGTTGCTCTCTCTCACATCCGATATCCAACCCATTAACAAAACCTGTGGGCTTCACCTTCAAAAACTTTCATAATCTTTACACTTCTCATTACCTTCAATGACTGCTACCATACCGGCTCAAGCCACTCACCTGGGCTTCTATAATAACCTCTTATCTTCTCCCTGTCATCTTCTTTCCTCCCTATGGTCTGTTTTTTTTACAGCTGCCAATTATCTTAAAACATGACAGATCTTTCATGTACTTAAAATGCTCTGATGGCTTTCCAAAGTCCTGATTCTGGTTTACCAAGGCTCTGCAGGAACTGGCCCACATTCTAGCACTATAACCTTATCTCCTACTATTCCTCTTATTAGTTTACTCTGCTCTAGACACAACTGGCCTCTTTGCCGATCTTTGAGTGCCCCAGGTTTGCACTTACTTCACTGCCTACATAATGTTACCTCTCCCAGATTTCCACATGGCTTATTCCTTTGTTTCCTTCAAAAAGACCCTTTTTTGACCACTTTATATACAAAACAGCAACTACTCCTCCACTCCCAACACCTCCCCAATCCTTGGCACTCCCTAGCCTCCACATTTCTTTCCACAGTACCTATCACCAGCTAACATGCATATACATTCAAATATAAACACACATACACTTATTATCTTCCTCCGCTATAATACAAAATCCAGAGGGTACAAATTTTGTTTTGTTCACTGCTGTATAATACCTAAAACAGCCCCTTGCACATAGTAAGGCAACCAATAAATATCTGTTAAAGAAATGTATAGTACTGACTCTGGGTGGTGAACACATAAAGCAATATATATATGATGCATTATAGAATTATACACTTGAAACCTACATAGTTTTGTTGACCACTGTCACTCCATTAAATTTTAATTAAAAAAACACACACACACACAAAAAAATGGATAGTGAGGCAGAAAGCAAGAGACTGACTGAGAAAGTATATATGAGTAGCAGGTACAATTTAACTAATTCAAAATATCTGCCATTCCATTCAATGAATATTTGTCCAGAGCCCTGAGACAGACTACATTAATTTATAATACTATTCCCTTAGTTGGACACAAGTCTTGAACATCTCTCTTGTGTATGTATGCATTTCAGTGTGTTATGGGTGATAGACAGTGCATTTTTAATAATATGATGTTCAACAAAAGAACTAGTGATCCATTCAAAGGGTAGAGAAATAATTGAACTTTTTGACAAAAATACTACATTGTTGAAGAGACTTGAGGGAGTTAAGGGTAATTCTGACTATATGTAATTTCTGCCCTTAGACCTAATACCAATATGAAATCTGACTCAATGGTAGAGCAATATAAAGGTTGGGCTCTGAAGTGAAATTTTAACTCTGCTTTATATTAGGTAATGTAACAATGGGCAAGTTACTTTCTCTAAAACTTTTGTTTCCTTATCTATAAATTAAAAATAATAATGAGGTCTGACAATGAAGTCCGTGAACTTGTTGCAGCAATGTTGCTAACCTTTTTTTTTTTAAAGATTTTTATTGGGGAATTGGGGGATGGGAACAGCATTGGGGAATCAGGGAAGGAGAACAGACAAGCTGCTGTCCTTTTGTTCTTCAGTCTAGTTGTGGAGGACATCACTTCACTGGCCCAAGTTGGCACCATCATTGCGCTCTTCCTGGGCGAGGCAGATCATTCGCCAGCTTCTGGATGGCTGCTCATGCTGGCTGCTGGCTACACACGGTAGCCCATGGCAACCCACTGCAGCAGGGGCTGCAGCCTACACCGTCGCCTTCGACTCACCACAGCTCAGCTCCAGGTTGAGCTGTTGGTCAGCATCTTAGCTGTAGAGGGCAGTGTCACTGGCCCTCATATGTGGGATCCGAACCGGGGCCCTCTGGTGTTCCAAGCCAGCTCTTAACCAACGCGCTACTCGGCCGGCCCATTGCTAACTTTTTTTGATATCAGAGGGATTATTCATTATGAATTTGTACCAACTGGACAGTTAACCAAGTTTACTATTTGGAAGTGCTAAAAAAGGCTGCACGAAAAAGTTAGACGACCTGAAGTTTTTGCCAACAATTCATGGCTCTTGCATCACAATAATGCATCAGCTCACAACATGGCACTATCTGTGAGAAGAGTTTTCAGCCAGTAAATAAGTAACTGTATTGGAACACCCTTTCTACTCACCTGATCTGGCCCCGAATGACTTCTTTCTTTACCCGAAGAGAATGGAATATTAAAAGGAAGAGATTTTGATGACATCCAGGACATCAAGAGTAATATGACAACAGCTCTGATTGCCATTCCAGAAAAAGTTCCAAAATTGCTTTGCAGGGTGGACTAGGTGCTGGCATTAGTGCATAGCTTCCCAAGGGAAGTACTTTGAGAGTGACTATAGTGATATTCAGCAATGAGGTACATAGCACTTTTTCTAGGATGAGTTCATGAACTTGTCAGACCTCATATACATAGGGTGATTGTGAGGCTTTACCAAAATACATGTAAAGCACCTACTGTTGCCTTAAGTCAGCGGTTCTCAACCCGTGGGTCACGACCCCTTTGGGGATCGAACAACCCTTTCACAGGGGTCGCCGGGTACTCATATGTGGGCGTATCTGCATGTGGGCCTGGAGATGGATAGAGGAGCAGTGTCTTGGTTCATAAGACCATCAAAAATATGTGTTTTTGGATGGTCTTAGGCGACCCCTGTGAAAGGTTGAGAACCGCTGCCTTAACTGATTTTATATCTTAACTGCTTGTTTTTTATTAAAGATCTAATGAGCATATTTAACACATCTGAAATCACTTTCACATCTTAAAAGTCATACAAACTGGGTTGTCAGCTCTAAACAATCACTGAAGACTGAATAATATACCCTCTTAAAGAAAAGTTACAACCAGAATCTTCAAAGACAATAAAATGAACCATAGAGTCAACAATTCTTATTGTCTAGTATCACACTAATAATGTGCCATCTCAATTAAAAGTTTATAATCCTGCTCAGCTAAGGTTTTCCAGTCTCTTGTAAGTAATTATACAAATTATAAATACTTGAAGGATGCCTGATGATCCTTTCATTAATAGATTTCCCCTCTTTACTGCTGGCTACCTACATCCTAGGTATTCCCTCCCATCCCCCCCCAAAAAAAATTGGGCACCCATAGCAAGTTAAGACGCAAAACTCAGGGTATAAAAACTGATTATAAATCACATAACCCATCTAGTGAGCTCACACATCTCTTTCATAATTATCATTCTTCCCACATCTACATCTTACTCTGGAGCTTAGTAAAGCATATGGGAAAAATTATGCGAAAAGACCCATAATGAAGTAGAACTACTGTCTTACTTGCCCTTTCAAAATTAAAGGCCAAAAATGAAATACAGAGTGCCAAGAATAGTGTTTCCCAAACTCTGTTCCTCAAGAAATGTTAGTAAGTATTCTGCAAAAAAAGAATTCAATGACAAATAGGTTTGGGGAATAATACATATTATATCACTTGCTTAGAGATTTACAATGTATTAGCATTTTAAAAGCTCCGAGAAGTCCTGCTTTAAAAACAGACAAAAAAAACACTTTAATTTTGTGAATCTAGGCATTTACCAAATTTATTTACCAGTAACAATTTGGGGGTAAGCATCTATTAACACCTGATGGAACACTGTTAAAGAAACCTAGAATAGAAAGATCTTGCCAGAACTTCTCAAGGATAGGTTAGCATCTCAGTCAGATCATAGATGCTTCTACATTTATTGGGAAATTCAACTTTTATGGTATTTTCCAATTAAAAACCATAAGATGATTTCATGATTATCTAATGACTGAAACTGAAAGCAAAGTGAGCAACCAATGCTGAATAAATTCGCATGCCAATTTAATCAATAATAAATAAATGTAATGAGCTGATTAGTGAGGTGTCATAACTTGATTATATGATCAGATTCATTAAATCTACTGACTTCCGGGTTTGGCTATGGCACTGTTACTCTTTCAAGCACTAAAGAACAGAACGAGTGTTGCATGAAAGTTTTCAGCCCAAATAAAGGACGGTTTAATTGCTTCAGGAAAAGTACCAGTAAGCAAAATATCAGAATTCAAGCGAAGGGTATAAGCACTAATACTGGGTCCCAAGAGCTATATAGCAGAAGTGACAGAAGTCATCCACAAAACAAGTTATGGCCTAAATACAGTTCTTTGACAGAGTTCATATATCCAGCAATAGGTGTCATTACTCTTTCCTTTATCACTGGCAAGCTATAAAAGACCACTCCTGGTCAATGATGACAATATGTCTTCTCATAATAAGGGGGCTAGAAAGTAGAAATAAAGTTGGAAGAGAAAGAAGAAAATAAGATTATGAGTCCTCAATCTTTTCCTTCTCAGATCAAATTCATCATTTCCCCTGCTCCTATCAACTACCTTCAAAATCATTCTCATATAGACGCTTAGACCCTGAAATATCTGATCTTTTGGATAGTCCACTTACCTTCCTTTTTTCCCTTCAATCCTAGGTTTCCTATTTCTAGCTATGTTTCAAATTTTTCATTTATGAGCCAAAACATCACCAGAAAGGAAACAAGGAAAAGGAGTGGAAGTTTCACAAGTAATTCAGCACAAGCTGCAAATTAATTGTCATTTGGAACAACACTGCTTCCTTTATAGAATAAATATAACCATCATTCTAAGTCATAATCTAACTTTTCACTACAACAACATGAACAAATAAGAACTGGTAATCTCACCTGATGCTTCATATAATGATGCATATAGGGTGTTGCAATTTTAATAACTTTGAGGCAAAATGGACACAGCAAATTCTTAGTGTTTTCATGGGACGTTCTAAAATGAGTTTCTACATCAGAAAATGATGATGATCTGTAATTGCAAACCTATAAATAAAAAGGTTTAGTTTAACTTGAAAATGTATATATGACATACATATATAAGTCATTTGTTCAGAAGAACATTATGTACTACTACTAATTCAGCTGATGTCTGCACAACCAAGAATCCCAGTAACACAAGCACCAAGTTCTCTTTTAAAGTTTAAGAATATTTTCCAAAATATAACTAGATTCCCTTCTATGTATTAGATCTTTTTATCTATCATACCCTATCCTGACTTGAATTTTCAAGCTGTGACACCTTTTGCTTTTCCTATGAACTTTTTCCTGCCACATAAAACAGCATCCTCCATTAGATTATGAATGGCTTCCAGGCTATGGCAGTGGCAATTTATTTTTGTTTTGCTTTCCTATTCCTTCAAATTCTAGGAAAATACTAGTCCCAAAGCATTTGGTAGGGTTCTCTATATCTAAAATCATTTCATATTTCCTTTGTATGCCTACATTCTTCCCTATATGGTAAGACAAGTCTACATGTCTGTTTTTCTTCCACAGGGCTTTTCTTTGTCCACTATAGGGGTGGGCAAACAATGGCACCCGGGCCAATTCCAACTCTACTGATCACATATACAATGCATGAATTATGCCACAGGACTTTCTACTAATACATTTTTTACAAGAGGGATCTTATTTTAGTAACCAATTTTATCTAAATGGTTAGAAAAATAAAAGAATATATTTCATGACACATGAAATTCAAATTTCAGTGTCCATGAATAAAGCTTTACTGAAACACAGCCACATCCATTCATTTACTGATTATCTATGGCTGCCTTTATGCTACAATGGCAGAGTTGATTAGTTGCAACACAGATCATATGATCCACAAAGCCTGACCTGGCCCTTTACAGAAAAAACTTGCTGACTTCTAACCAAAACAATGAAAAACAAACACTAAGTACACAATAAAATATGTATATACCTGGCAAATATATGGCATTTCACCGGGTTTATGATTGTCCTTCATATGTTGCAAAAGAATATGCTCTGTTTCAAATGATAATTCACAGATTTTGCAAATGGCTAAAAGTGGCAGGAAAAAGACGTTACACCATTTCAAGATATTACACACACAAATATCGAATCATATTGTATACCCCAAACTAATATAATGTTATATGTCAATTATACCTCCATTTTTTTAAAAAACAGTATCCTCTTGAGGCAAAGATATATTTCTCATTTTAAATATCTATATCAGCAACAATATTAGTAGAACTGGTGGTGGTGGTGAAGAGTTATATAGTTAACTGTGTTCTAAGCAGTTTAACTCACTTAATTCCCATAACAACATTATGAAGCAGGTATTCCTATTATCAAATATTCTAACATTAAGTAACTTGCCTGAGATCACATAGCTATTAAGAGGCAGAGGTGGGATTTGAACCAAAGCTATTTAGCTCCAAAATCTATGATTTTAACTACCATTGTAGTTAATATTCTTACTCAAGTTTAAATAAACGGTGCTGATTTCATATTTGAAACCTATGATCTGAGGCTTTTAATTTAGTCCCCCACATACAATACACAGATTATTTACTTTATTGAATTATTTACAGGAGGAGCTTTAATTTTTGCAACTCATTTTATTTAAAAGTTTATAATAGTTAAAACATAACTCCTTCAATTTTGCCCTCAAATTCCAAAGTCTTTTTCTTATTCTTATTTTTCCTAAGAGGCTTCTTAAGGTTTTCTCAGAATTAATATTGTTAAAATCAATAACATTCAATACGTAAATGAAATCATAACTTACTAGAAAATTCATGGGGTGTGTGAGTACTTTCAATGTGGCACTGCAGTTGAAACGGTGTGGGAAATTGACGGTAGCAGTGCTGGCAGGTGGTGTGGTTTTCCCAGCTCTCACTGCTCTGCTTCTCAAGTTCTAAATGGTGTTTCATGTGGTTCATAAACCTATAAATGATTGTCAACAGGTGCAAAAATTCAGATTTAAAAACAAAAATCTCACAAATAAGTATCTAAATTTTAAAATACAGATATATTACTCAAAATAGCATCTCAAAAGCCTTAAAGTCCTCTAGAAAAGTATGTACTTTAAATAATCACTTTCGTTAAGTGGGTTAGTAAATATCTTCTTTTCATCTTTGTTTTAAAAATTCACTAATGTAATTAATCTGAAATGTCACTAATTTGCTCTAATCTTTATTAATTTCAGATTAAAATGTTTTCTTAAGATAAAACAGCAGGCTTCTTTTCCATACATGAAATACTATTTATATTTTTAAATAAACTACTGAAAGGAAGGAAACTCTACCACCAAAAGTAGCTACAGAGTCATAAGGGTAATATTTTAAAGGCCGAGAAGATATACTAATAGATTCCAGATGCTTAAAAGACAAATTACTGGTATTTTTACTTGTGTCTTGGTTTCCAAATGCATGTAATAGCAATTTTAATGCCTACAATTACAAGAACCTTTTGTTTTATTTAATGATACTGGTTTACTGTTAGCACAGGCTGTTTATTTGAATTTGCAGACTGTGCCCTTTGTAGGCAACATCCATTTTTCAGTTTTACATTCTGCTATTTCAGCTTCCCTAAAAGGCTTCTGATGAGCAGGAACTATGACCTTTAACAGCAGAGTGTGCAATATAAATGGGAATACCTATTTAAAAGACCTTATTGAAGCTTTCTGTTATATTTGAAAGTAAAGTTATTCAATCAAAATAATAATTTTTAGACTGGGGCAACTATTAACAATTATTCACTTTGAGTCCCTAAAGGAAATAATCTTGAAATGAAGTGATAATGTCATCAATCTACATAGCAATCATCAAGAAGGTCATAACATTTATCTCTTTTTCACACCTCTAGAACACAACTTCTCTTTCAAACAGGTTATAGCATGCCTTGAAATACCTTTTTGTCCTCCTTGGGTTTTAACTTCAGCTCTATAAACAGCTATAGAAAATCCTAGTATTGGCTAACTATTTACATATAGAAAAAAGACCATGAGCCACTAAACTTCCGGCTCACAACTTTAAGCAATTAAAGTATATCTATATAAAATAATCTCTTAACTAGCACGCTTTCTCTCAGTTATTGAGTCCCCATCAGGAGTACATACTACTTAAACCAACAGTGGAAATGAGAAAACAAAAACCAAACTTCTTGTAATTATGTTCACAGAATAAAATAAACCTAAGTGTTTTTGGTGGCACTCAATGTAGGAAAAAAAAAAGTACCATACCACAATATGTTGATAAGGCAGAGAGTAGCAACCTAAATCTATCAGTTTCTTACAATTCTCTACAAACATCAACTTGCTGTTCTTTACTGTTAAGGTAAAATATTATTTAACATATAGTATATAACTTCTTTGATTATGAAGTGTTTCATTAAGGTTACATTTACTAAACAATCAGTACTTCAAAATATGCTCAATTTCTAGAATGTCTATATAGTCTGATACTCTATAAATATGTAACTAGTCTTCTGGAACAATATCAAAATAAGAAATTTTCTATTTCCATATGTTTAATACTAAATTGGCTAATCTTAAAGGAATAGCCAAAAACTGTTGCTGCAATAACTTCTAATGCCATATACATAACATTTAGGTAAAAAGGAACAAGTCAGTGAACCATATTTCTATGAAATTTACCATATTTACTAACATAATTTTTCTGGTGTATATACTATTAAAATGGTAAGAACATAGAAATAGGTGACAGAATTCAATTGTAATACCATTTCAGTGTTATATCACAAAGTACAATATCCTTTCTGTTAAACTACTAGGACCATTATTTATTGATGGCTGTTAAAGTTTGATAAGAGGAGATAAAGTAATGTGAAAACTCATATGAAATAGTATATGTGCTAGAATTTTGAAATCTATAAAATACTACCATAAACAAAGCATTAATAATTGCTATAAAAGTATATTCAGGGGGTTTCTATTTGACCCAAGAATTCACCAGAAAATTAAATAAATTCTAGGTCCAGAAGTAACCTACTGATGCCTAAGAATGCTAATTACAAATAATATTTAACAAGGGTAAACATGAAAAGGTATACATATATGTTTATGTATAGACACACATACCCCTCACCTAAGGAAAATACAATGATGACTGCAACTTACTTTGGAATGCACGCGCACACACACACACACACACACACACACACACACACACACACACACACACACAAATAGATTGAAGGAAGGATCAATAAATATATGATAAAGCAAGTACAGTAAAATGTCAATGGTAGAATTACCTTAAGTGTCCACTGTAAAATTTTTAAAACTTTGCTAAATGTCTAAAAATCTTTCATAATAAAATTGTGGGAAAACAATCTTACCTAATGTAAATATAAAGCTATATAACCAATGGAAAATATCAACTAATATATCTCTTGTTACTTTGTTCTTGCTACTAACTCATTTATAGGATGACAGTGAATAGTTTGCTATGCAACTCAAGGATTACAAGGTATAAATTCTTAAAATTTAAAGCATACATGTATAAGAGCTTCAAAATTCCACTGGAAATTAAATCTCTATTTTTTAAAGAAGTTAAATGTTAAAATAAAGAAGATATGCTTCACTTTTTATGCAAGGTAATTGTTCTAAAAATTATAAGTATCAATTGAAAGATTTGAGCATTAAATAAGATTAGTATGGTGCAGGTCAAGTTGGACAAAACATAAAAAAGTGGCTTTTCTTGAAATATAAGGAAAAATAAAATTCAAAAGCAGCTAAAAATAAAAATTATATCATGAAAATTCCTAAATCACTGATAATATAGGGGAAAAGTTAATTTAGCTTTATTTGAAATAACGTTCATCCTTTCTTAGGTTATCTTGAAATACAAGTGGATCCAGGAGTCAATTACAAAATACAAGAAAGGACAAAAGCTTTTCAACAAGAAAATCTGCCTTTGTTCTTAGTAAAAAGTGTTAAAATCTAGAATGGCACAGAAAAATGCAAGATAAAGATACAACATTTATATCTGCAGCACTGCAATTTTCAAATAGAAACAAAAATAAGCATTTACATACCGAATATTATTTTTAAGAATTTTCAAGCAACTGAAGCATTTAAAGGTTGTGTGAGTCTTCTGTTCTTCCTGGACATCTCCTTCATGTTTTCCATAATAAAAGTCATTAACTAACATGATCAATTTTCCTTTCTCTGAATCAACAGTCTTATTTGTATTTGCCGTACTTGAAAACTCTGTTTTAGTCAGTCCCAAAAAGTTATTTATCATGTCTGGACAACAGTACTGAAAGAGAAAAAATAGAAGCCTTATTTATCTTTTAAAAAAATAGATACCAAAAAAATTATTCTGTGTTTATACCTAAGGCCAGACCATGTAAAACTATGCTTGGTAATATATCTGGAAAAATAATCACCAAGTTTGTGGTGCATATACATGGTTTAAAAAATGCAAACAATAGGGGCCGGCTGAGTGGCTCAGTTGGTTAAGAGCTCGCTCAAGAGTTTGAGCTCTGAGCAACAGTGGTTCGAGTCAGCCCGAGCTGAGCAGCCGTGAGCTGCCAACAGGTGGCAGGATGGCTCAGCTAAAAAAAAAAAATAATAATAATAATAATAAAAAATGCAAACAATAAATATCTATGATCTTAATAAACAACAACAAAAAATGTTTTTAAAGAAAAACCTTAAAACCAGGACTTGGCTACTGATCTAATAGCTTTTCTTTGCAATTTAACTTTTCAGATGTAAACTTTTAATAATAATTTAAATACTTAACTAAACTAAAACTAAAAATCATTCATTTGATATCCATGTCAAAATAGAGTATAGAAAAGAAATGTAGTTTTACGTGCCATAATGTATGTTTAACTATCAAGTGACAGAATAAATTTCATAACATCTGCTTGGAACTGGACATTGAGCACAGCTAACCTGCCATTCCCCAAACACAAGGAACTAGAAAATGTATGGGAAAAAAAGAAGCATCAGTTATGTCTTGAAAACTTCAACAGTTACATCTTCACAACTAGAACGCTTAAATATTAGAAAGGAAAATTTAGCTTCATGAGTAAAATCAAGATGTTACATAAACTGGTTTTAATGTGGAATACTTTCATACATAAGCTTTTTGTTTTTTTCAACAAGATAAAACTAATTATTTCAGAATTTTCAGTTATACAATCTCGCTAGGGCAGTTTTTCTCAGAGGGTAATCCAAGGAAAATCTTCATTGGCAATTTTTCTCAGAGGGCAATCAGAAAATAAAATCATACTTGAAAAAAAAAAAGAAGTGCTTTTCAAAATGCTAATTCCTGGGCCCATTTCAGAATCAAAAAACCACAAGGTCTAAATTTAGGCTCCAGAAATCTGTATTTTTTAACAAGCCATTCAGGTAATTCTTTTACAACATAAACCAATTGGCTTTAAGTCTTTCTAAATGTATTATTTAGTAAACTATTAGCAACATAAGAACATTTGAAAATCTTAACACAATTTCTATGCCATTTCTAAGGTATCAACATCCACTTCCTCTCATGCCACACTGAAATGTTAAATCATTGGTGTAACTTTCTGTGTCACATGGGAAACTGGGCCTTTATTCAAGACAGACCTATAACATTTCCTTCACTTGCACTTATTTTGTTCACTTGTCAATTTTGAAACCTATTAAGAGAAAAAAAAAAAACTCCACAAAATCTAAAATAGATCCAAAAGAGAGGAAGAAAAATATAGAATAAAATGGACCCACAAAAAGTGACAAAATTTGTGTTTAGGACTTAAGTTTGTAACCATAAACTAAATTAGGATAAATACATTAGTTCTTTAATACAATATGATCCTCTGTAGTCTAGCTCTATGAATAAATAGTTAAAATGAAACCACAACAAAAAGAGGAAAATGAGAACGGTTTTTCTATATGTTTCTAGATTCTTCCGGAGACACATACAATATTTAAGAGCTCGGGCCAGCCGAGTGGCACATTGGTTAAGAGCTGGCTTGGGATGACAGGCGGCCCCGGTTCGGATCCCACATATGAGGGCCAGTGACACTGCCCTCTACAGCTAACATGTTGAACAATAGCTTTCGTGAGTTGCCGGCAACGGCGTAGGCTGCAGCCCCTGTGGCAGTGGGTTGCCATGGGCTACAGTATGTAGCCAGCAGCCA